GTTGCAGTTCAGGAGGACGCTCAGCAGGGCGTGGGTGGCACAGGAATTGGGGATCAGCTGCAGGGCAACACAAGGATGGCTTCAACAGAGGAAACAATCCTCCACAGCCACTGATAATCAATGACAAGGTCAGTATGCAGAAACCACTTCTAAAGCAGCAACTAGAGGTGCACCTTGTCTCACAAAAGAAGGGAGATCACCCTCATGCAGCGAGGCATGCCACAGCCACACAAGAAGCTGCCCACAGAGCAGAGAGGCTCTCAGCCTTCTCTGGGGTCCAGCTCTCCCTAAGGTGTCACAGGAGATACCTGCCTCCTTCTCCTCACCCTCAGCCTTACCTGGTGAGCAAAGAACATGTTATTAACGATGTCATCGTCGATCACCGACGTCTCATCCACCAGGGTAGAGACCTTCCTGCGGGATCTGCGCTCCTCAATCCACTTGAACAGGAAGATGAACCCATACACGGGGCTGTGGAGAGATGTTAGCAACTGCACCACGATGGACAGGCCGCTGCAGTGGGGCAGCTCTGCCCGCTGCCAGAGACCTTCTGTTTCAAACCGAAGGCAGAGAGAGAGAGAGAGAAAGCAGAGCTACCAGCCACACGTCACCAGAAGTGATCGTCCCTACCACAAGAGCCCCGTTACCCAGGGCACTCCCATGCTGATGCTCAGGACAGCGGGTGAGCTTGAAAACCCAGGGGTTTGACAGGTCTCAAGACAGAGAAATAGGAGGCAAAATCCACCTCTGGGCACTCAGGCACTCACAGCCTTCTGAAAAATTGCTTAGCCTCCAAACAATTCCCTTCTCTTATAAATATCCCATATTCATTTCCAAAAGGGCATCAGCCAACAACTTTTAAGAAAGCTGCAGTTTCAAAGCACTGAGATGGAGAAATCCCACGCTCCAAGCAAGCAGCCTTGATGCTGGAGCTCTCCATGCCAGAAGAGAGATTAATCCCCAGAATGTGCCCCCACACAAAGTCTTTCTGGGTAACTGTGTCCAGGACCAACCTGCCATCACAACCCATAACGCCAGGAAGGATAATTCAGCAGAAGAGCAGGAGCTCACCTGCCTGTCCCAAAGTGGACCCAGCACTCCTGGCTCATTGTTCTCAGTGCTGACAGCCTCACTAGAGTCCCCTCAGCCCTAGAGAGATGTTTTGCTTAATAGAACCCCCACTTTCAAGTGCACAACTCACCCCTGGCATTTGCTCTGCAGATCATAAATCTCTTCAACCTGCACCCCTTTGACCCCTGCAAACAAAGAGCAGAAGCTGGTATGAAGCCCACCACAAAGAGCTGGAGGTAATGCCAAGCATGAAGTCAGCTTCCCAGGAAGGTGCCTTGGACTCACCAAAATCTTCGACCAGGAGTGTGAAGAGACCTGGAAAGGGACAAAACCAACAGGTTAGTTTGGGCATGGTGCAGAGAGAGAAAACTGCTGCAGTTTTTTTTCAGCTGTGCTGTGACTTGAAACCACATTTACCCCCCCCTTGGTCAGCAGCAGAGCTTAGGCTTCCCACATCCCTCCATCCCCTTCCTCAAGACAACCTAAGCCAATCCCATCCCTGCTAGCCTCCTGCTGTCGGAGCCAGCTCAGCACACTGGCCAACACAACCAACCTGCCAAAAGGCAAATCCCCACCACAAACAGGACAGGGAGCTCCCAAGCAATGCTATTCCTTCAGCTGGGAGGAAAGCAGCCAAATGAATGGATCACAGGGCTGTTGAAACATGACCACCTCTGTTTTCGTTAGTGAAAGCAAGCTTGACAAAAGGACTGAGGGTCAAAAGGCTCATCAACATCTTCCTTTCTCCTGGGGAACCAAATCTGTCCTCACTGACCGTAATTTCCCATTTCAGAGGGGCATAATGAGTGATACAGATACAGGGAGGGCTATTAGACATCAGGAGCTGCAGTGCCACAGCAAAAGCACTTGGTCCAGTTTTCTGGCAGTTCACCCCCCTGTGAGGAGTTAGCAAGCCCGAGACTGGAATAACAAATCTGCTTCTTGCACTCTCTTAGAAAGGCTGCTGAAAGCCCAATAAGGATTCAAGTCAGAGAAACATTCCTACGCATAAGAGATTTAAGGAACCTGATGTGAGTGATTTAACCAAGAAGGGAAGAGCCAAGAGGATTTGCCATCAAAGCTAAAGCTGCCAAAGCAGAGAATAAACTTGCTCTCAAGTTTCAGAAGTTACAGTCTGCTGACCACAGCAAAACAAGGGCAACAAAATGCACCAAGTATGTCACAGCGTGGCCAGTGATGATTTGCACAGCTCGTGCACCAGGTGAACGCAAACAGCCACAAATGCTCAGAGTGGCAGCAGCACAGCCAGGAGACAGGGCTGGGTGCCCAAAAGGACAAAAGATAATGGGAACGAGCTGGAGAGAGGGGCTGCGCACCTGGAGAGCACTAATTCTTCACCATCAGAGGTGCCAACTCTGCTGGTAGCAGAAATCTCCTTGGACAGATTCAGACTCAGTGGGACATAGCTGTGCAGCCCCAGCAGGGAGCCTGGCATCCAGCTAAGGTCTGAGCTGTCACAGCCTGGGATCTGGCTCAAAAATAGCTCGGCTTTGGCTCAGCAGTGGGCAGAAATGGCCACTCTGCAATTCTTCAGCACTCTAGTGAGAAGCTGGTACTAAAGCTGCACGCATCACTGCGTGGGGATGGATTGCTTTGCAAGAAAACCACCCTCCATCCCAAGCATCAGGGTGCAAACTGTGTTTTGCTTTTGGTATGGCAGTGATGAAGAAGGGGAGAAAGATGGGAGTGATTTGGGCTATTCCTACACATCAGTAAAAGGATCAAGAGAAGCAGAACTTCAGTTGAGCGGGAGATCTACAGCATACAGAACCCTTCAATGAGCACAGAAAGTCAAAGCAGGATGCACGGCAGCCCAGGCTGCTTGCCTACAACCCCAGAAGTCCACCCAAAGCTCACCCCCATGTGCTTTGTGACCACAGAGTGTCCTGTCCCCCCGTACCAGAGGTGTTCCCTGCTAGGACAGCTCGGCTCACGCTCTATAGTCAGCGATTGCCATCCTTGGTGTTTTGGGGATGAGAATATCTACAGAAATTTTTTGCATCCCAGTCAAAGCACTCCAGACAGCATCCACAAAACCCTTTGGGTTCAGCAGATCGCGCTGGGGCCAGTCCGGCCCTCTGCTTCCCGAACAGCGAGCCTCACTTTGTGCCTCCCTCCTGCTCCTGCAGCCCCACTCCCCAAACCCACACCCGCTCACAGCCTCCCTCATCGCTGCCTCCCTTACCCACCCATAACCCCTCACTACAACGCCCACAGCCCCCTACGACCCTCAGCTGAGCTCCAAACCCCTTCTTCCTCCGCACAGCCACTCCCAGGCCTTGTCCGAAACCCCCGGCCTGCACCCAGAGGCCTCCAGGCCGCCCCCCGGCCCACACCTACAGGCCCCCGGCGGCCGCCGCCGCTCAGGCCCGACTCCCCGCCCCCGATCCGAGGCTCACCGGGGTCGCTCTCCAGCTCCAGCCAACCCTTATTCATCTTCCTGCGGCCCGGCCCGCGCCGCCATGTCCGGCCCCGCCGACCGCCCGACTCTGGGCCCCACCGGCCCCGCCGCCGCGCCCGCACAACACGTCATCGCCGTGCGACGCCGGGTGACGTCACCGCGCGCCGCCTCGCGGCCGTCCCGGGCAGCGGTGGGGGGGCGCCACAAAAGTCCCGCGGAGATGTGGGCCGGAGCCGGGCACGGCGGCGAGGAGGCGCTACGAAAGTCCCGCAGAAGTCTAGGCCGCAGCCAGGCCCGGAGCCTCCCGCTCTGCCCCGCTGTTTGAGGCTTCGTTCCCCTACAGTTGGGGACTGGCTGGGACTGTGCAGCGCACCACCAGGCCCTGCGTCCGGTGTGGGGGAGCGCGGCCAGGCAGCAGGTTGTGGGGTAGGCCTGGGGCCTGGTGAAGGCTGAAGGCACCAGGCGAGCCAGGCCCGGCCTCAGCTTCCGTAGGAAACAGCTGAAAATAGGAGCAGGCCGGGCCCGTCCCCGGGGCTTTGTTACCCTGCGGCTCCCACACACGGCCCTGCTGTGTCCCCTGGGCTATGGGCTCCATGTGGGGAGGGGGTCAGCCCCGCGGCCCCTCACCGACTCAGTGGCGGCACAGGCCCCACAGCCTCTGCCCCATATCTCAGACACGTGCGGGGTAACGCAGCGCTGCCACGGACTTTGCTCCCATCAGAGGCACCGCGCTGCGGCCATTGTGCTGCAGGGAGGAGCAGTGATCTCATGGCCCAGCCCTGGCTTTGTGCAAGCTATTTTGGGGGTCAATTATTAGTATTTTCTTTCCCCTTCCTCTGCCTTCGAACAATGCTGGTCCCGGTGGGGCCTCGGTTCACACCATTGTGTGGGGCCACACTGCGCTGGGAGCAGGAAGATCGTTATCAGCCCGGCTGAGAACTTTGCCAGGCCCTCAGCATGGGGCCAGCAGCGCCTGCACTGTGGCCCTGTTCTTTGGAGCACTGTGCCTTGGGGAGTACTGCAGCTTGGTCCCCACCCCAAAGCCCCTGCCCACTGCTGCACTGGCACCGTTATTGCCCTAGCTTTGTTACCTTCCCCTAAGCCTCTCCCGTGTTTACCCAGGGATAGGTCTAACCTGTTTGAGGCTGATTGCCACCCTCTGACCTTGCCCAGCCCCAAAAGGGTCTGTGCTTTCCCTCAGATAGGGTTGAAATGGGGCTGAGGATGAGCCCACAAGTCCCTTCCAGGAACAGGAGCGGCAGCGCTGGCCCCATGCCTGCCCGAGTGCTTCTTCTCCCTTTTCATACAAAGGCCATTCTGCTTCCCAGCACAAAGGCTGGGCTGGGGCCATGAGAGCCCCATCCTACACTGCATGATGCCGGGACTCAGCCTGGGAGGCTTTTTGGCACGATTCTCAGCTTCTCCTTATGAGGGCAGGTATTGTGTTTCCTGGGTGCCATGCTGGTGGCATGGAAAGAGTCTGATCAAACCCCACGGGCAAAGAGGGGACTGGTGCCACACTCGGCCTCTTTATTTGTGGAGAAAGCCAGCAAGCTCCCCAGCGTCTCCGCCACTCAGGCAACCATGACCCTGTGCCTGGCAGCCGCCAGCAGGAGTGAGGGGCTTGGTCCCCCTGACACAGCCCATTTGGAGGGGGACAGGACCTGCCCAGGAGCCAGTCCTAGGGACGGAAGGACCTCGTGCAGCCGCAGCTCTGCCCGAGGACAGGTCCCCTGTGCTAAGTGGCTGCAGCTTGCCGGGGCACACGGATCCTCTCACCCTGCGGCTTGGCCACGCGCCCCTTCTTGCCCACATCCATGCCAGCCAGCACGTGCTTGCCCTTGGCCATCTTGCCCTTGCGGTGGCCGCACCACAGGCGCAGGCACTGCTCCTCCACCCGCTGCCGGTTGGCTGAGCTGGCGAGGTGCAGGATGTCCTTGTACCAGGTTTTGGGTGCAGGTGCTGCCAGCCAGGACTCAGGACAGGGCAGGTGCCTGTCCTCCCGTTGCCGGGGTGTAGCATGGGCAAGCTGCTCGCCCCCAAGCACCTCCAAGGCTGTCTTGGCCACTGTCTGGGTAAAGCCATGCTCCAGTGTCTTGCAGTAGTAAATCCCAGCATCATGGCGGTGCAGCTGGCGGAAGAGCAGCCCTTGCTCTGTCTGCAGGACCCGCTCATCTGTCTTTACCTGTTGGCCACGGCTATGAGGTCAGTCCCTTGTCCTTTTGGCAGGGAGAAGGGAAGGAGCAGGACAGGATGGGTGCTGGCGTCTCACCTCATCCCTCTGCTCATCGGGGGGTCTCTGCACAAACCACTGCACGCTAGCCTGTGGGGAGCGAGGCACACATTCCAGAAAGGTGCTGTTGTGCTCCATGCCATACAGCACCTTCTCTTCAACGTGCTCCAAGTCATCCACTGGGGCAGAGACAGAAGTGTGTACATGGTGAAGGCAAAGCCAAGCCACTCTACGCCCCATCACCTCCCTAGGTGTCCACCACGGCGTCAGTGCCCACCAGGGACAGATCTCCCCGAGGGCCCCAGCTTTCCTTGGGGCACCGTGGGACAGGGTCATAGGGGTTCTGGACATCTTGGGACAGCCCAGCCTCTCACCAGTCAGGTTCTGGTCCAGGCACTGGTGCACAGAGCTGGTGTGGCGGACGTAGCGGCGCTTGCCCGAGGGCTGGTAGCGGGTGCAGGCGGTGCCATCCCAGGCACAGTACGGGTCCCTGGCCAGGCAGCACTCGGCACAGGCAGTGCCATAGCTCTTGCACTGGTGCAGCCGCACCTGGGCCACCCCCAGGCTGGCACCCACATAAAGCTTTTGCTGGAGGACGGCACAATATGGCAATGACAGCAGCTGCCTCCCAGTGGAGATGCTTGACCCCACTTCATGTAGCCCCTCCTGGTCACCCACCCTGTCCCTAACCCCAGACTCACGCGCTTGACAGAAATCTCCATCTGAGTGATGGGCACTGGAACCTGGAGGGAGAACAGCAGATGCAAAGCTTTGTCTAGCCTTGCCATGGGCAGCCCTGGGCCTCCACCTCCCGATGCTCAACAGCGTGGTGCCATCCCTCTAGCCCATTCCCATGAGCATCGCCCACCTTAAAAACCTGCAGCTCCTCCAGAACAACTTCCTCTGTCACAGCTGAGCTCTGCTTCTGCAGCACTACCACCTTCAGCACCGAGCCTGCATCTGGAGGAGGGGAATGGAAACATGACCTCACGCCATACCAGACATCCACACATGCCACTTGCAGCGCATACCTGTCCCTAAGAAGAGGACGTCATGCTGCCCATCCTCAGTGTCCACACGGTCCACCACGAGCTGGCGCAGGCCATGCTGCAGGTCAGTCTTCACCAGCAGCGGGCGGTGATGCCGCGGGCGCACAGCCCTGTACATCAGGGGGTGAGCACGGGCAAAGTGCAGCACCTCATCAGGCAGCTCCTTGGTGCTGCTGTATGGCCGCTGGGGCTGGTTGGTGGTCTTGCTGGGACACTGCAGGGACAGGAAGGACGCTGCTTGGCAACCAGCCCCTCATCAGAGCCAGTTTGGGTCCCTTCCCATATTCCACTTTGGGATCATCTCCACCTTAGCCACTCTGGGGATAGAGACCTCATTGGGATTGATCCCATCACCCCCCATGGGGATGTGGGAACTGCTCACCACGCCTGGGCGCGGGTAGGGCACGCGGCCCTCGTAGGCTCCCCACTGGTGGAGGGGGCTGTCCTGGTGGGCAAAGGGCCCGTTGAAGACCTCGCGGATGTCGGTCATGCGGTAGACACAGATGGCAGAGCCCTGAAAGACATGGCTGGAAGGGGACAGTGACAGGTGCATCGGTGGAGGGCATGGGAGCTCTGAGATGTCTGTGCAGCCCAGACTGGGGCTGATGTCCCTTTGGGCTGGGGCTGAGCCACCCACCTGACAGTGCTGAAGAGTGCGTAGATCTCTGGGTTCTTCCCATCCTTGGTCCTCAGCAAAAAGACATCCTCTGTGGAGGAGCAACCCAAGCCCTGGGATTAACTGGTGGCCCCAAAGCCACAGAGCCACTGGGGTCCCCAGTCAGCCCGCCTCCCTTACCCAGCTCATCGAAGTGAGTATCAATACCACCAGGACCCGGGACGGAGCACACCAGGCGGGCTTTGTTGAAGGTGCTCCACTTGTTGACCAGCACCCTCTGGCCTCCAGCATCATTCTGTAGGGATTGGGGGCATCAGGGCCACCGCCGTGACTGAGCGCTCTGCACCCCTGGAGGCTTGGGAGCCTTCACCATCTCCAAAACTCAGGAATTTGCCACTGATACAGGAAACCACCCCAGGCTTTAGGTCCCCTAAACCAGGCACTGAATAGGCACAAGGGGAACGTCTCTATCCCCTGCCGTGTCCAGCACGGTGCCACCAGCATCTCACCACGCAGACCCGTGCCACCCGGCTGACGATGGTGTGCTCCTTGCTGTCTGCCTCCACCACCTTCTCCGTGAAGAAGAAATAAGCTTTGTCATCATCTCGGTCATCGTTGTCTGGGATCATGTAAGCAGCCACGAATTTGGGGTCTAGAAGAGAGCCGAGAAAGGCAGCGGCTGCCATCTGTGCAGCTCACATAATGGCTAGAAATGGGTGAGGAAGATGCGTGTGAGGGCGCAGGATGGACGATACCATTGAGCAGGCGCTGGTCCACCTCAGTGCGCAGCGCAGCGCGGGTCCCGGTGCTGCGGAAGATGCCGGGATCACGGCCGAGGAAATCCGCAGTGAGGCCAGCATAGAGCTCCCCACCTGGCAGAGACACCCTGAGCGCCACGGCCCCCCCGAGCCATGGGAACCAGTCCCAGTGCCCAGCAGCACAGGGGACCCCAAGGGCAACAACTGACCGATGATGGTGCTGGCAAAAGCACGGTCAGGTTCATGTGGGCACCTGCCACGACCGCTCTCCATGCTACCGGGATCCAAATTGAAGGCATGCTGGGTCTGGAGGAAGATGGGACCAAAATGGGGGCATACTGGAAGCCTGTCTAGGGTTCACCCTACCAGACTCCCCGGTCTGCCTATGGGACTTGGAGCCCACGCTTTTTGGGGCAACCCATCAGCAGGAGCTGGGCTTGCCAAGGGGGTGGCAGATCCCTGGCTCCTGGCCAGGGCAAACACCGGGTCCAGAGTCCCCAGAGGCAGTCGCACATCACAGGAAGGAGGAGAATGGGGGTGGGATGGTGCCTTGAGCAGGTCCCTACCTCTCCACGGTGCCCCACGTAGATGAAGGCGCAGACAGGGTGGCAGGCACCCGTGCCACAGGCCAGCAGGTGTGTCCGGTTGTAGGGCTGCAGCAGGCGGACGTAGTTGGCACAGTCGGTCTGGGGACAGGCAGGGAAGGGGGAGGCTGGTGGGGACCATATGGCAGGGCTGTGCCGGGTGGGCTCCACCAACCAGGAACCTCAGCACATTGCAAAAGGAATGGGCTTTTGGCTGCTCCTACCCCCATTTTGTCTCTGCTTGCACTGAGTGAAGGGGAGGAAACAAAGGGAGGAAATGTGGGAGACGGAGACCCATGGCAGCCTTTGCCTCCAGACACAGAGTGCCTGTGTCAGCCCCTTGGCTATCTGCAGGCCCTGCCAGCAGGGACAGTCCTCATCCCCAGTAGGGATGACTACCCTGGGGACATCATCCTCCTCCCCAGCAATGGAGAAATCATCCCTTGCACCACAACCATATTCCCTGTGCCCTCCAGCTCAGTGCACACTCCATCCTCTCCCAAACCTGCCCTTGTTATGGGGAGGCTTGCTCCATCCCCACCATTCTCAGGCACAGCCTCCTTGTGCTCAGCCTCTCCCAGTGCTGCCCACCCTACTCCATCATCGTGAGGCCCTGTGTCTACTGGGAGCCTGCTGCTGAACAGCCGCCAGCCTCCCTGCTGTTTATTTTCCCTTTGCAAAGAGCCTCCAAAATGAGTTAAAAAAAATAAGTGTAGGGAAAAAAAAAAAGAAAGAAAGAAAAAAAAAAAAGAGGGAAAACCAAGGCTGTCCCAGCTTGGATCTGTCAGAGCTTGGAAAATAAACACACCAAGCAGGATGGGCACTGCCGAGAGGGGTTTGTGTGGGCTGAGGGAACCTGGTGGCTATGGCCACCCCCCACCGTCCTCCAGTTTCAGGTCAGGGCAAGGAGGATGTGAGGTAATTGCAAAGAGGGGAATGGGGTCACTAAGCCAGATCGGGCAGCACGTTTCCCACACAGGGGGGAGTGGGGGTGGCCAGCAGCACGGCAGCTCACACCCCTCCATCACCACCCTGCTGAGACCACGCGCAGCTCCATGCATGGATGCTCTGTCATGAAGGGCTGCAGGGAGGCTCCCAGCCCATGGATTTTGGCTCTCTTATCTCAGCTTTCCCAGCCCATCTGCTCCTGCACACTTGGTGCCTCCACATTCGAGCTGCCCTGGTCCCATCGATGGGATTTGCAGAGCCAGGTGCTCCATCACCAGCTCCCTGCCTCAGTTTCCCCCATGTCTTCAGCAGTCCCATGGTCCCACATCATAGCTACAGCCAGCTGCAGAGACTCACTGCTGGGTCCTTCCCCTTCTGAAAACACTCCTCCGTCTGTCCGGGCAGTGGTGGCCAGTAGATCTGGAACAAAAAGGTACTTTGGGAGCAGGTGGAGAGGACAGTGGGCACCTCACCTTGTGACCCTCATCCCTGGGCTGCTGGGACAAGCTGGGGAACCACCACCCCCCAGCAGCTAATTGCTTTGGGATGCCTTTCGGAGCCCTCGCTGTGCGGTGGCTTCACCTGGCACAGGGCGGTCACAATGCCTGCAGGACCCGGCTCACCTCCTTGGTGTCAGTGCTGGCCCTGTCCAGAGGCAGGGAGTAGAGCACATCCTTGCCCCCAATGAAGAGCCTGTCACGGTACTCATCCAGGTAGAGGGAGCGGAAGCCCAGGAAGCCCCGGTGGCCAAAGAAAAGGATGGAGCGGTTGGTACCCAGGAGCTCTGCGAGGCAGGGAGAGCAGCGTTAGTGGGAGCCATGCTGGCCCCAAAACCCCGTGGGATGCTGCAGGAGCAGGGGCATGGGGCGTGACAGGGCCAAGGGACATCGTGGCATGGAAAAGTGGAGAGGGTTGACGTGACATAGCACTGAGATGTCCCAGGGCATGGGGCACAACGGGGAGGAGTGGCCACATCGAGGGATGCTGAGGTGATGAGGAAGTGACTTTGGGATGCCGAGCAGGGCAGTGGGGGCTCGGCAAGGTGGAGCACTGGGTACTGAAAGCCTCAGCTCTGTGGAACACCAGCCTGGGTGACAGAGGGCAGGAAGGGAGGGGGTTCGGCTTCATCGAGCCTCAAAACTGCAGCACTGACCCCAAGCCTGGCCCCTGAGTGGAGGAGGAGGAGGACAAAGGACCATTGATGGGCACAGCCATCCCCAGACACGCCCAGGGGGCTGCCAGCTGCCGTGTCCCCATTCCCAGCTAGGGTGTACCCAGCATGGCCCAGGGTCTGTCCCCAGGAAGGGCTTGGTGGGGGGATGGGGGGCAGTGGAGCCAGCAGCCCCACACATGCAGCCCTGAGATCCTCTGCCCCAATCCCTGGGGAACCCCAACCCAGCACCCTCCCAGCCCGCTGACCCCTCCCCCACTCCCCTGGGCCAAACCCAAGAACACACCGTCGTCTCCTTCTGTTCCTGCCCAGCAATAATATTTTCCCAGCTCAGAATAACATCGGCAAAGCCAACAGGCTGCTTATATTGTTTCAAGCGTGGATTTCCCTTCTCCCCAGCCCCAGTCGATTCCTCCCACGCCTTGTGTTACACTGGCGCCGCACGCCCCCTCCCCAGGGACGGTCAGCGGCCCGGGGGTCCCCATGGGGAGGGAGACCACCGAGGGGACAGCAGGAACTGGGGGCACGATGCCCTGGGATGCACAGCAGGGATTGTGCCAGTGCTGGGAGTCAGAGCGGATGGCAAAGAGTGGGCTGGGCAGCGGGGTGAGCTGGGGACACGGCCACCCCGGCAGTGCCACCGCAGGAGGCGATGTCCCCTCTGTCCCTCTTGCTGCCCCAAAAGCAGCTCCGGAGAGCGCAGCCAAGCGCACGCTGAGTGAGAGCAGGCTTTGGCTCTGCCCGGTTTTTATTTTTGAGGCGCTTCAGAGGCTCCTAATGGTTTTAATTGAAATGTTCGTTCGTTTCGTGGGAAATTTCAGCTTCTGTTTCCAATTTGGAAGAGGAACAGAGTAATCAGCTTAAGAAGGAAAAGAAAAAAAAAGAAACAACAAGGCTTCAAAAGGTTCCCTATGCCCTGGGGTGCTGGGCACCCGCCCGCCACCACAAGCCCTCGTGGGACCAACGTGATGCCAGAGCCCATCAGGCAGCAAAGCAGCACCCAAACCTCACACCCGGCGCCACCAGGGACCCCAAACCCCCCCCCCCCCCCCCCCCCACCTCCACAGCCTGAAGCTGTAGGATCCCATCCGACCACGGGCACCTGTCACCCCTGGGCTGAGCGGCCCCGCTGTGCCTCAGTTTCCCCATCCCAACAATTGCCTTGTGCCGTTGGGATTGTTTTATTTTTTAGAGCTGTTCGTCGCCTTTATGCAACATGGGGCGGGTTTGGGCGCTCCGGAACCCCGCTCGGCTGTCAAGCTGGACTGAAATCTGTGCCTGCATTCTGCTGGAGAGCCAGGAGCGCGGGACGAGATGAAATTAAACCCGAGCGCAGCGTCCATCGTGGCAGCCCCCGCGGATGGGAACAGCCGTGGGATGCCCTCACTGCGCTCCCAGCACCTCTGTTTCCCCACCCGGCGCTGGGAACGAGGGCTGCTCCCCTCCAGCTCCACTCCTCCCCTCTGTTCCACAGCCCCCACAGCCCACCCAGGATCCCCGGAGCCGCAGCGAGATGCGATCCCCATCCCATCATCCCACCCGCTGCAATCCCGACCCTTTCCCCCCGGCCCGGCTCACCGCGGTAGGGCAGGCGGAGCCGGGGCGGGCTGCTCCCCGCGGCCAGCAGCGCGCCCCACAGCCAGCCCAGCGCTGCCGCCGCCCGCATCCTCCTCCCGGGGCCGCCGCTCCCCGGGGCCGATGCTTTTATGGAGCCGCGCTCCGCCCCGGCCCGCCCCGGCCCCAGCCCGGCCCCCGCCCCAGGAGCCCCAAGGGCTGCGTCCCATGGGACGGGTGCGCAGGGGGTCCCCGGTCTCCGGTCCACAAAGTTATAGGGAGCAACCCCAGGGTTTCCCCCCAGACAAGAGGATGGGGTGCAGGGAGGGTCCCCCAGGGGTGCTGTTCCGCTGGAGCACGGTGCTCTCCCAGAGCACAAGCCGGGGACGCGGTGAGTGGGGACACGGAGAGCAGGTTGTCCCCACGTCGCGGTGGCCACGGGGACAAAGCAGCCGGCGACGCGGGGCGGGCGATGCGCCGAGCCTCCCGAGCTCCGGCTCCGGCGCCGGCGATGCGTGAGAACCCCGTGCCGCGTGCAGAGCTCTGCCGGTCCCAACCTGCACCGAAGTGCTCCGGTGGAGCTCGGCCAGCCCCGTGCACAGCTCCCCGGGGGTGGGCACAGCATCTGGACCGGATGCGGCACCCTCGGGTGCTGGGCACAGCACGGCTGGGGATGGGAGCAGGGAGCGGGGCCAAGCCCTCGGGTACCTCCGGCAAATGAGTGCGGGCTCCTGCCGGGGCTTGCACATCGCTGCCGGCTTTGTGGTCTGGCAGAGCCATCCTGGGAAGATCCCATAGGAGGAGGAAGAGGGATTAACCTCAGCGCCTGCCCCCAGTGCCGCAGACTGAGCGGGATCCCACCCGGGCAGCACTCTGCTGGTGCAGCCCCTCCTCTGTCTCCAAGGAAATCAGCGCCCCTTCGGGGCCGCGGCTATCCATGGCACTGCCCGTAAGCAGGCAGACAGACCTGCTCCTGGCCTTGCTTACCAGGAAGGTTTATTGAGTGAATGTGCACGGTCAGGATACAGGGGCACCAGCTGGGAGGCATGGCCCCAGCACCCCTGGAAGTGGTCAGGGATGGCTGCAGGAGCACAGGGCACACCGGGCTCCACTGGCACACGGTCCCGAGGGTGGCACAACCAGGACACGTGTCACCATCAGGCCAGCTCACAGCACAGCCACAGCAGAGGGGCACGTAGAGGCGCAGCATGATGCTCCCTCTCCCCTCCCAGAGGCTCAGGCCTCGGCAGGCAGTGGGGGCACAGAGGCCAGGGCAGGTAGGAGGCGGGCGTAGATGTCAATGCCCCGCAGGAAGACATCCTCGTTGAGGAACTCATTGTGGTCGTGGAGCAGCACCGGGGTGCGGTTCATGGGCGAGAAGCCGAGGGCTGGGTACCCTGCCTGGGGGTGGAGGAGCACAGTGAGCCCAGGGCGGGCAGCGGGGCCACGGCTGGGCTGGGGCAGCACTCACCGCCCGGATGTAGCGGCTGTCGGTGGCAGCTGGGAAGATCTCCAGCTTGAGAGGCAGCTTCCTGTAGGGTGAGCCGTGGCATCAGCGTGGCACAGGGACAGCTGGGGTGCCTGCCACCCAGACCCAGCCGAGGGCCCTAAGCCATGTACCCTACAGGATGCTAAATCCTATTCTTTCTCACACAATGGAGTATGGTGAGGTGCTGACATGGCTCAGGGCTCCTCTCCTACACTGCCGTGTCCCCAGGGTACATGAGGACCAGGGGGCGCAACCTAGGTGCCACCATCCCATAGCACTACTCACATGTCCCTGCAGACCCCGCTGAAAGCTTTCCACCACGGGTCAGAGTCCTCAGTGGAGGTGATTTGCTGGTCCATGCATTTCTGAGCGATGGAGGCAGCGGGTGGGCACCCTGCAGGGGAGGGGCAGCACAGCCTGCCGACCCCCCCCCACAGCCTCTCACCTGGTGAAACTCATACGTGACACCGTCCCCAGCCGCCCGGCACCACGCAGCCACCTGCTCCTCGAAGGCCTGCGGCAGGCAGCACGAAAGGATGTGAGCAGGGGCACCCCCAGCCCGCTCCCCCCACACGGGGCCGGCACCATGCCCACCTTCAGGTCCACGGTGGGGGGGATGCGGATGTCAAAGCCGACGGCCATCTCAGAGGGCACCACGTTGAAGGAGACTCCCCCCTCCAGCAAGGTCAGGTTGAGCGAGGTGACATCCCCCAAGGTCAGGCTTGTGTTGGATTTAAGCCTTGGGGGATGCAGGGGACAGTCACCCTCTGTCCCGAGAGGAGGAGGGGAAATGCTCCCTGCCCCCACCTCCATGCAGGTAAACAGAAGCATGGGGATGCAGTGCCGGATCAGAGCCTCACTTTGGACCTCCTGGATGCCAAAGGGGGGCAAAGCCCCTCCAAGGACCACAGTGAGGCCAACGCAGCCCCTCCAGCCATATCCTACCTCTGCTTCTCGCTCTCCCTGAAGGCCAGGAAGGAGGTGATCACTTTGTGCTGGGGAGGAGGCAAACATATGATGTAAACATCCCAGAACCACCTGGTCAGGGCTTACCATACAGCCCCTTCCCGTGCCCCCCATCAGCAGCTCCCAGCCACAAGCCCGGTGCCCACTGCAGAGGGCTCCCACCCCAGGCCCCCACAGGGCACACCACTGTTCCCTTACCAACTTCTCAGCCGCGGTGTTCGTGATGAAGCGGGACCCATGCCCAGGGCTGCCTGTGCACTTCACCTTGATCCCTGAGGAAGAGGCGCTGAGCTGGGTGCACCCAGCACCCCAGAACCCAGCAGAGCAAGGGACAGGATGGCAGGCACACCATTACTCACACCAAGGGCTCTTCTCGCCATAGAAGACACTGTAGGTGTCGGATGGGCTGGCCAAGCCTGTGGTGGGCACAGCAAGGGGAACAGATCTGTCCCAACTGGTGCACTGCGGGGTCAGGGGCTGGGATGCCTAAGGGGACCCCAGGAGCTGTGCTGAGCGCCCCTGCCTTGGGAGCAATGCCAAATGTGCACGATGCCATGAGGTCCCGCTGGCTCCCAGCACAGCCATGCCATCACTCACCTTCATCTAGGGCAAAGCCCACGTTGAGTGCTTTGAACTCCGGGCGCTGCAAGAACATCACCATGCCTTTGTGTCCGCCCACCTCCTCGTCTGTGGGGAGAAAACTGGCATGGGTGAAGGGATCCTCCGCCCAAACACCGTGCTTCCATGCTAGCCTGGTGCCATTGGCCATCCCCAGAACCACACAGCCCTTCATCCTAGAGCTAGTGGAACCCAAAACCTGGACAGGTTAGCAGAGGTGTCCCATGCCCAGGATGCGGGGAGCCACACAGCGTCACCCAGCCCATCCTGTTCCTCAGGAGGGCACTCACCAGGCACAAAACTCAGGTGGATGGTGCGGGCAAAGCTCTTCCCTTCTGCCTTCAGCCTTCGGATGGCCTCAAGGTACCTGCGGGTGATGTGAGGAGATGGTTTGAAAGTGCTGGGTGCAGGGAGTGGGGTTGACACCCCTGAGCCACCATGTGCACCAAGCCCCCACTCACTGGATGGAGACACACTTCATGTCCTGGGCACCCCGGGCATAGATGTTGCCCTGGGAATCCTTAACAGCTTCGAAGGGTGGGTATGTCCAGTGCTCCTGTGGGAAGATCAGCTGTGACCCCATGTCACGAGGCTACCCCTGTGCCCGGCCCCTGCGACCCCGTACCTCGAAAACTGGCACAACGTCAGTGTGGGAGTTGAGCAGGATGGAGCGCAGGCGGGGATTTGTGCCCGGCCAGGTGAGGACCAGCACCACACGGCCCTGGCACACCTGTGAGCAAAGGCTGCATGTCACTGGGGTGGGACGGGGGGACGCAGCGGTTGGGACAGGCTCATTCCCCCACCGCAGCCACTTGGCAGCCACAAGCAATTCAGAGGAAGTAAAACCCTAAGGGCTGGGTGTCCCCTGTGCCAGCCACTGTCCCTTCCTGGACAGACACAGGGGACATCTGCAGCCAGCGTCACCCTGCCTGGTCCCTGGCTAATCATAGCACAGCCAGCCACAAAGGTCAGAGGGACAGGCAGGATCAGCAGAGCATTAGGGCAGCAGCAGGCACCTCCTGCCACCCGTGGGCTGGTGGGGAGAGGACCTGACCCCCAGCAATGGTGTGGGAGCAGCCCTGGGGCTGCCCTGCTCACCTCCACTTTCTGGCACGCCAAGCCCAAGTCGGTGCCCACACGCTCCAAAAACTGGACTGCTGCATCTGGGGGTGAGAAAAGATGGATGATGGGGTGAATTCATGGCAAAGCAAGGGTGGCCTTGCCCGAAGCACGGTGGGGATAAGGCACTGCAGTCTTCCTTGCGCTGGGACTGCAACAGCCCGGGCCTCGAGCATCAGGCACGTGGGTCCAAAGAACGATCCAAAGAGCAGCGCAGCGGAAGGAGCCATGCTGCCAGCCTCGAGCCCTGGGTGCCCCCCCCCCCCACATCCCTGCTCTCCTCACCGTAGTCAGGCTTGGGGTGCACGGTGTCGATCCTCAGGTACTCTCGGAAAAGTGTCACCGAAGGGTTCTCCGAGGCCCCCGCACTCTTCCCTTGCTTGCCGGGTGCCATTCCCGGACTGCAGAGCCGCGGGGGAAGAGACAGTTAAACCCCTCCTTCCGTCCCCCGCTCCTCCGAAGCGGGACGGGGCAAAGTTCGGCCCTTGGGAGGAACGGGGCTGAGGTGGGGGTGAAGGGGCCATGGGGTCGGCGGGGGCTGCGGGAGGGTGGCAGGGGGTGCGCGCACACGCGGCGCTCAGTGGGGCGCAGGAGCCAGGAAAACACCGCGGGTTTGTGGGGCGGAGGGCACGAGGAGCTCAGAGGATCGCACGGTGCCACGCTTGCGGTGCGGGGAACCGGGGGACCGAGGGTGCGCGGCCCCATAACTGGGGTGCGGGCAAGGAGTGGTAGGTTCGGGGCTGCCCCCCGCCCGACGCCGCCCGTTCCCGGCCCCGAACCCCCGCTACCCCCGGCCCTACCTCCGCGCCGCCGTCGCTGCCGGCCCGCTCCCGCTCCGCCCCCCCGGCCCCGCTCCGCCCCGCTCCATCCCGCTCCGCCCCGAGGCGCCTGGGGACACGGCAGAGACCGGAGCGCGACGTGTTTATTGGCCTCGGGACAGGCGGCTCGCGGATCCTTCCTTCCAGCTCGCGGCCCCCCTCCCCCGCCAGCATCGCAGCACCGTGCCCAGAGCCCTGGCACCGGGGTTGCCCTGCCAGAACATCATTCTGAAATTCAGTGAAGGTACCAGGGGGCCCTGGGTGGGCACAGAACAGCCCCCTCTCCCCCAAGGCAGGAGGCACAGCCCCAAGCTGCTGCTCAGAGGGCGTTTGGACATCACTCTCAGTGTTTTTGTGTGGTTCTGTGTGGAGCCAGCACCTCTTCCAACTTGGGATATTCCATGATTCCACAGTTCGATGAGCATGGAACCTCTGCTCCCAACCACAAGAGGGAGAGGCGATGCTGCAGGAAGGCACTGCTGGCGATTCACCCCCAGCCCCACACCACCTCCCCACCTCCCAGTGAGGCACAGAGACAAAACCAAGGCCCCACTGCCCTCTGCTCAGTGCAGCAGCACCCAGATCATTGCAGCTGGCCCAGGAAGCCAAGAAGGGCCCGGTGGAAGTCCTCCGGCTTGTCCATGTAGCAGGCATGGCCAGCACCAGGCAGCACAACCACGCGGTGCTTGGGGAGATGCTGGAGGCTCTGCAGGGCCTGCTGGCCCAGGCCGGTGTCACGCTCACCATACAGGATCAAGGTGGGCGTCTGAAAAAGAGGAGAGAAAGGATATAGGAGAGGTGGGATGTCAACCTCAGCCCAATCAGCACCTCTGTAAAGCGGCAGGAGAGCTGGGAGCACAGCACCCAGCACCCTGCCGGCCTCACCTGGACCTGCTGGTACTGCACGGCGCTGTATTCCCGCGTGCCCACGGGTGCGATGGGCACGAAGCCAGCCAGCTGCTCGCCATGTGCCAGGAGGAAGGGCAGGGCAAAGCGGCCGCTCATGGATGGGCTGATGAGGACCGGTCTCAGCAGGCCCAGCTGCCGCACGACACGCTGCAGGAAGGCTGCCCGACCCCGCTGCGTGGCCACCGAGCCTGCGGCGGGTGAATCCCCATAGCCTGGGGGGGACACACAGAGGATGCAGGGCTGGGGTTCAGCAGGCGAGCACCGCGAGCCCTTTGGGTGCCGGCCTGGAGGGCCCGCAGCCCGCGTCGGCACTCTCGGTCCTACCGGGCAGATCGATGGCGACGGCGCGGTGTCCTTCGGCGGCGAGCAGCGCCAGCGTGCCCAGGGCCTGCCACGTGCGGGAAGTGAAAGCCTGGCCGTGCAGCAGCAGCACGTCGGGCCTGCGGGGGGACACGAGGGCTCGGCACGGCGCGGGGCCGCGAGCCGCCCGCTGCGGGACAGCGACAGCGCGGCGGGACGCTGGGAGCCGCAGGCAGACCCACCTGCTGGATGCCGGGAATCGCGGCGCGGCGGCCTCCCTATAGGCGACGGCGGGGTCACCCGGCGTCACTCCCGCCCGCACCGTGGCGTTGGCCGGGAGTCGGGCCGGGCCGTGGCGGCGGGCGGCGGGCAGCAGCAGGAGCGGAACACAGACCAGCACGGCGCCCAGGGCCAGCAGCGCCGGGCGGCCGCGGGGCATGGCGGACGGCGGGACGTGCGACGGTCGGATTGCCGCCCCGCGGAGCGCCCGCGCGAACCCGGGGCCCGACCTCGTTCGGCCGCGCTGGCTCGGCGTGGCTCGGGAAGGCTCGGCTGAGCTCGGCGGCGCTCGGCAGGGTTCGGCTCCGCTCGGCAGCGCTCGGCTCGGCTTGCTTTTGATCGCCGTGAAAAAAGGCGTTCCTCACACGATCCTCACTAACCACACGAGCAGAAAGCATCCCCGTCCCCGAAATCAACAACACGGCCCTTCTGCGGAGTTGACGGGACGCTCCGCCCCTCGTCCCCCTGCATACGACAAAAGCTCGCAGGGCTCGGATAGGGCTCGGGTTGGGGCTCGGGGGGCTCGGGTAGCATTCGGCAGAGCTCGGGCAGTACTGGGATGCGCTCGGCTCGGCAGGACTCGAGTGGACCTCTGCAGAGCTCGGCAGAACTCGGAAAGTGCTCGGAAGGGCTCGGCTCGGTTAGGGCTCGGGCAGGGCTGGGCACGGCTCGGCAGAACTCGGCTCGGCTCGGGCAGGGCTCGGCAGGGCTCGGCTCAGCTCGCGCACGGCTCGGCAAGCCTCGGTTCCAGCCGCCCGCTCTCGGCCGTGCCCGCCAGGCGGCGCCCCCGCTCCCTCCGCCCCCTGCGGCCTTCGGACCCGGGCGGCGCCCCGAGGCCCGGGCCGGGCTCGGAGCGGTACCGAGCCATGGCCGGCGCGCGGCTCACCGAGGGCACCGTGACGGTGGAGGGGCAGAGCCTCTTCTACCGGGAGGCCCACCCGCAGCGGGCCCCGCGGCTGAACGTGCTGCTGCTGCACGGCATCCGCTTCTCCTCGGACACCTGGCTGCAGCTGCACACGATGGCCGTGCTGGCTGACGCCGGCTACCGGGCCGTGGCCGTCGACCTGCCGGGTAAGGCACGGCCGAGGGCACGTGGCGACGGCGCGGTGGCAGCCGTGTGACACGCAGCCCCTCGCTCCCAGGGCTGGGCCGCTCCAAGGACGCCGTGGCCCCCGCTCCGGTGGGGCAGCCGGCACCGGGAGCCTTCCTGAAGGCGGTGGTGGAGGCGCTGGGCCTGGCCCCGGCCGTGCTGGTCAGCCCGTCGCTCAGCGGCATGTACTCGCTGCCCTTCCTCTTCCAGCACGGGCACCTGCTGAAGGCCTACGTGCCCGTGGCGCCCATCTGCACTGAGAAGTTTGAGGCGCAGCAGTACGCCGGTGTCCAGGTAACGGGGTTGGGCATGGAGCATCTTCCCTTCCTCACCTGGGTAGGAGAGGTGCTCCTGCTGGAGGTGTAATGCTGCCCTGGGCCAGCGTTGCAAGCTGCAGCAATGCGAGCGTGGCCTGTGTACCTCTCTGCAGACGCCCACCCTGATTGTCTATGGGGACCAGGACGTCGAGCTGGGCCAGGTCAGCCTGAGCAACTTGCGACACTTGGCCCGCCACCAGGTGCTGGTGCTGCAGGGCGCCGGGCATGCCTGCTATTTGGACAAGCCCGAGGAGTGGCATCGTGGACTGCTGGCCTTCCTGCAGCAGTTGGAGTGAATGGGATGGGGAGGGCCACCCTCGGCACCACCGCTTCGTCGGGACCAAATAAAACCCTGAGATGTGCTGCCGCCCTGCTGCTTTGTTCCCTCCTCATCATGGCACGTGCAGCGGGGGACGGCCACCCTCCTCCTGGCCTCATCCCCATCCTCTTCTCTCCTGCTTTGTTCCCTCCTCACTGTCTCGCACGCATTGGTTGATGGCGGCCCTCCTCCTGGCCTCATCCTCATCCTCTTCTTCCTCTTCCCACCCCTCCGGCCGCACACCCACTCCTAGGTTAATCCACAGGGGCTTAAAAGGTGACTGTCATCCTCAGCCGTCCCCTGCCTGTGGTGGCAGCCAGCATGTCCCAAGCACCCGGCGGATTTATGGTCACCAACAGATGGGGGGGGAAAGGCAGGGGAGGCCAGACAGACGCCTGGCTGGACAGACAGAGTGCCGCTCGGTGCCCGCCACCTGCCTTTCCCCACTTGGTGCTGCTGAGCCAACCCTGGGGATGCAGATGGAGCCGGCAGCGGGGTGCCACCCCCCTCCCCGCTCCCCCTCCAAGCCTGCCTGGGCTTTAGCTGCTTACGCCAGGGCCTATGAGGATTTAGCGGGGGAGGCATGCGGGCGGCGGGGGGGTGACACTGGCAACGTGTCGGTGTGTGATGGGGGGCACGCAGCGGGGTAGGGGCCTGCTGGCACAGGGTGCTCAGCACTTTGCAGCATCCATCTGCTGCTCCGGCACCGCAGCCCTAAGGGTGCCCACCCCCAACAGCACCCCTGGGTGCCGCCGTCCCGGCGTTGCCCTCCCGGTGCCCTTGAGCCCTTGAGCCCTGCCAGCTGATCGGCTTCCAGGAACAACAACAACAAAAAAAAAAGCAATTACAAAGAGGGGCGATGTGCGAGCCAAGTGTGGGGGGGGACAGGAATGTCCCCAGCGGTGGCAGATGGCCTTACCCAGGGTGCATTGTTCCTTTTAGTGTCTCTTATCCGCTGTAATAGGATCCCGGAGGGAGGGCTGTGGGAGAGGGGAAGAGCGAGGGGGGCCCCAGCGGGCCGGGGTGGGGGCCGGGGCTGCCAGCCTGCCCCGAGCCCGTCAAGCGGCTCATTGTTCGCGGCCCGGGTGGCACGGGGCGGCCCCGGCGGCATGCGGCACTGAGCGGCGGCGGTGCGGAGAGGTACCGGGCTGCGAGCGGGGCGGGGGGAGCGGAGAAACTTTCCTTCTGGGCGATGGGGGGTGGTCGCGCTGTCCCCTCACCACCTCCCGCTGCCGCCCGGCACCCGGCCCTTGTCCCCACGCCCCCCCGGCGGCAGACGGCGCCGTGCTTTCCTCCTCCCCGCACCCCCCTCGCCATCGGCTCTCGTGCCCCCGCTTTTGTCCCCGCCGGGTCACCCGTGGGGGCTCGGGGGCTGCTGGCGCTGCCGCCGCCCCACCCCGCTCCCCTGATGGCCACCTCGGCGACGAGCCCTGCCAGCACCCAGAATAGCCGTGCCCCCTCCCCCCGACAGCGCCCGCAGACCGGGCCCCATCCCCACCGCGGGTGCTTTGTTCCAAAGCCGCTTGGCATCGCCGCCGGCATCCCGCCCACCAGCTCCCGGACACGCGGCGATTGTCCCCTGCTGTCCCCTCCCCGGCCGCCTCAGATCATGAGGTGCTGCTGGGTGCCTCCCCCCTTCCCCTAGGCATTCCCCAGCCGGGGGTCCGGCCACCCCCAGCCCAGGGGTCGGGACACCTGGCCGTACCCCGCAGGAAACCCCATGTCCCCCAGGCCATGGCATCGCCGGACAGAGCGAGCGGCCCCAGAGAGCCGCAGCTCAGCATCACCCTGACCCTCCGCATGCTGATGCACGGCAAGGTAACCTGCCCTGGGGGTGGGGGAGTGGTTCCGGGGAGGATTTCGTGCCCCTCACCCTAAGTCTGGGCTGTCCTCACCCCTGGGGACACATGGTTGGTGATACTGGGATCGTCTGCTAACAGAGCTGCCCTCTGCTCCCACAGGAGATCGGCAGCATCATCGGCAAGGTAAGAGCCGGGGGATTTAGGCTGTGCCACCCCGGGGGGCTCCTGGCCCTGACCGCCAGCCCTGTTCCTCTTCCCACAGAAAGGAGAGACAGTAAAGAGGATACGGGAGCAGGTAAGGGCATGTGGGGCGGTTGTGGGCCCCTGCTGTCCCCTCCCCGGCCGCCTGTCCTGGTGCCTTTAGGTGGCTCACGGCTCTGGGTGGGAGGGGGCAAGGACCGCAGGGAGGGGGTGACACAGAGCTGAAGCAGTGCTGAGCTCTGTGCCCCTGACGGGACGCACCGCCGTCCCCAGAGCAGCGCGCGCATCACCATCTCGGAGGGCTCCTGCCCCGAGCGCATCACCACCATCACCGGCTCCACCGACGCCGTCTTCCGCGCCGTCTCCATGATAGCCTTCAAGCTGGAGGAGGTGAGCGCTCCCTGCCCTATAATGGGACTCTGTGAGCCCCCCACTCCCAGGGGAAGCCAGACGTTGTATGTGTGTCCCTCCGCAGGACCTGGGGGATGGGACGGCGGCAGGGAGGACACCGGTGACGCTGCGTCTTGTCATCCCGGCCAGCCAGTGCGGCTCACTCATCGGCAAGGCGGGCACCAAGATCAGGGAGATCCGGGAGGTGAGATCCCCCGGCACGATGCAGGAGCACAGTGTCCCCCCGCCGTTCCCAGCCAAGTCCCACAGCCCCCCCATTTTCTCCCCAGAGCTCAGGGGCTCAGGTGCAGGTGGCTGGCGACCTGCTGCCCAACTCCACAGAGCGCGCCGTCACCGTCTCGGGGGTGCCGGACACCATCATCCAGTGTGTGAGGCAGATCTGTGCCGTCATCCTGGAGGTACTGGCAGCTGGCTCACGGTGCTGTGGGAGGTGTGGTGTGGGCTGGGGGGACCTTGACCCCATTGCTCATCCCCTCCACCTCCTTTCCTCCCTGTGCAGTCGCCTCCTAAGGGGGCCACCATCCCCTACCACCCTGGGCTCTCCCTGGGTACCATTCTGCTCTCTGCCAACCAGGTAAGGGGTGCTGGGGCAGGGGGACCCCCTGTCTGCATGGGCACAGGTCCCTGCGTGGTTCCCAGCTGATGCCCATTGCCCCCCCAGGGTTTCTCCATGCAGGGGCAATACAGCGGGGTCTCTCCGGCGGAAGTGAGTCTCTCCCAGCCCTGCTCCTTGGTTCATGGGGCCAATCCTGGGGGTGTCACCGTGGGCACGGGGTCTGGTAGCCTGCAGCTGGGGTGGGGTGCAGTGGGATGGGATGTGGTATGATGGGAAGTTGTGGGATGGGGTGGGGACGGGTAGGACGCAGGGGGATGGGATGACATAGGGTGGGGTGGAATGGAGTGGGATGGGGTGGGATGGAATGGTATGGGATGAGGTAGAATGGGATAAGATGGAGTACACAGAGGGGGTGGGGTACGATGGAAGGGGGAGGGATGGAATGGAATGAGGTGGGATATGATGGAACGGGGTGGGATGGGGTGCAGTGAGGTATGATGGGAAGAGGGTAGGGTGGGATAGAATGAAATGGGATGGAATGGGATACTATGGAATGGAATGGAGTGGGGTAGGATGGAATGGGTCAGAATGAGGTGGAATGGGATGAGAATGGGGTTTAATGTAATCAGGTAGGATTTGATGGGATAGGATGGGGTACAGTGGGAGTGGAAATAGATGGGGCGTAGGGGAATGGGATGGGATGCAGTATAATGAGATAGGGTGGGGTGGAATGGGATGGGATGCGGTGTGATGAGATGGGTTAGAGTGGGATGGGTTGAGGTGGGATGGGATGTGCACTGCGTGGATGCCAGAGTCCAGCCAGGGGCGTGAGACCACGCCATCAAACCTGCCTTCCTACTGTCTGCATCTCCTCTCTCTCCCTGGACAGGTCACAAAACTGCAGCAAATGTCGGGGCACACCGTCCCCTTCCCACCACTGGGCCACCCGCCCTCCATGGTTCCAGGTGAGCTCCCCATGGAGAGACATGGGGAGTTGTGCCCTTCTTGTTCCGTGCTGGGCGCTTGCAAGAGCATGGGAGTCCATGTCCTCTCCTCCCATCTCCAGTCCCATCTCCCTGGCGTGCCATCCCGCACCAGAAAGTCCCTGTCTTTGGTCTCCCGGTGTCCCAGTGCCCCCAAGCCCTCCACCCCAATGACAGGAGCTCAAGTGCCCACATCCCATCTTCCCTATGGCCTTTCCTTGTTGGTCCTTCGGGTTTGTCTTCACAGCAACGTCCCCCCACATTTGGAGGGCACAGGGCTGCTGGAGACCCCCCTAACTCCATCATTTCTCCCTCCAGGGCTGGACTCAAACTCCCAAAGCAGCTCTCAGGAGTTCCTGGTGCCCAATGATGTAAGTGTGGGTCCTCACAAAGTCCCCATTTCCCCACACGTGTCCTGCACCTCTCACCTTGGTGCTCCCCCCCAGCTGATCGGCTGCATCATCGGCCGGCACGGCAGCAAGATCAGTGAGATCCGGCAGATGTCGGGCGCCCACATCAAGATTGGGAACCAGACCGAGGGCTCCAGTGAGCGGCACATCACCATCACGGGGTCCCCCATCAGCATCACGCTGGCTCAGTACCTCATCACCACCTGGTAAGCGCCCCAAAGAGCTGGGGCTGGATGCTGGCACCGCTGACAGAAGGCACGGGGCGAAGGTCCGTGTGCCCTACAGCGGGCAGGTGGCCCATTTGTCACCGTGCCCCTCACCATGCCGCTTGACCCCCCCAGCTTAGAGACGGCCAAATCTACCTCCCAGGTGCCACTCGGCCCTGGCTCCGTGGATCTCGGTGTGGGCTTCTCGCAGCCGCTCGCTCCGGGCTCCAGCGCAGCGCTGCCTGCTGTCCCTGCCACCCCCCCGGCTCTGCTGGGCACCCCCTATGCCCTCTCTCTCTCCAACTTCATCGGCCTGAAGCCGCTCTCCTTCCTGGCGCTGTCCCCATCCTCCGCGGCAGGTGCCAATGGTGGCACTGCCACCTACACGACCAAGATCTCGGCGGCCAACGGCACCAAGAAAGCTGATCGGCAGAAGTTCTCGCCCTACTGAACCCCTCTGTGGGTGAACAAGGGAGGTCCCGGTGCCACCTGGTGCCAAGGACACCCCTTGTCCTCCATCCCTCCCCCAGTCGTCCCCCCAGCATCCCATGCCCAGGGGAGGGGGGCCCAGAAGTGATGGCCTCTGAAGCAAAAAGAGTTGCTCCAATGCCCATCCTGGCAGCACTGTGTCCCCTCTCCCCCCCAAATTTGCTATGGTATGGGTAGGAGGGCTGTCTCTGCTGGGGGGGGGGGGGACATCCTCCAACTCCCTGGTGTCCTTTGTCCCTACCTTTGCCCACACTGCTGTCCCTCTCCTGCCATCCCCAACCCTCTGGGCTGAACCCCAGAGCTGCTGAGGGGCTGCCTGGCCTCTATGGTGTTCCCTCATCCCCTGGCTGTGTCAGGGGGACTTTCCCCTGGGCAGTCACCTCCCTCCCAGCAACCCCCAAGAGCCTGCTGGCTTGGAAATGCTGTATATATAAGTCTATATTTTTCCTCCTTTGTAACTTATCAATGGTTTAATAAAAAGATCAAATTTATGTGAAAAAGATACATTTTCCACCTCCCGAGCGGAGACTCCCCCAGCTCAGGGAAGTGCATGAGGTGACAGCAGAGGGGTGGCCCTGTGGCCAGTGATCTTCCCTGAGCCCCCTCCCTGCCCCGTGCACCTTTCCCCAGCCCCTATTGCTGGAGTAGGGTTTCCTGTTTTTGGAGACTGGGGGCACAGCATCCCCCCCAGCAGCATCCTGACTTTCAGGAGGGGAGGTACTGGGCACCATGGGCACTGGTGTTATGGTGTTAGTGGTGTTATCTGAGCTGGGGAGGGTGCAGGAGTCCCACAGGGGAATGGTCCCCCAAGCTGTAGCTCCTCAGCTTCCTATGTCCCATGTGCTGCAGGAGCCAGGGATGTTCCCAGCATGCAGAATGGAAATGACAGCACCCGAAATGCGGCCAAGAGCCCTTCCTCCAGCATGCAGACTGGGACAGCAGGCAAAACGTGGACCAGGAGCAAAGAGGATGGTTCCCAGAGCTACAGTGGCATGGAGCTCTGCTCTTGGACACTCTCTTCGGGAACCTGGCCCGGGATGGGGCAGCCCCCCTTGCCCTGCTCCAGCTTGTTCCTGGGGCTGATGCACCCAGCATGGGTTTCCAGCGTGCAGGTAGCCCTCTGGAGGAACTGCAGGACGTTTTCCTGGACAGAGGCCTCAGAAATGGCCAAGCACAGCTCTTGGCCCAGCGGACGGTGGAGGAGACTGCGCCAGAGCCGGGCCAGCTCCTGGCGGATCTGTCGGTTAAGCAGCCCATAGAAGAAGGGGTTGATGGCGAAGGAGGAGTAGGCAATCCAGGTGACCACCATCTCGCTGTGCCCACCGCCCTCCGCAGCGGCACCCACAGAGGAGTGCAGGTGGAAGGCAAAGAAGGGCAGCCAGCAGCACAGGAACTGTCCCACGATGAGCAGCAAGGTGAGGATGGCCTTGTTCCCTCCCAGAAAGCGCTCAGGTGCCAGCCGGGGCAGCGGCAGGTTCCGCATGGTGACGATGGTCAGTTGGCTGGCAATGGAGTCACAACGGGGCCGTGGGGCAGCTGCTGGGGCAGGTGTGTGCTGTAGGGCTGCCAGCCGGGCCACCCGGTAGACACTGCAGTAGACGGCAAAGATGATAATGGTGGGCAGGATGAAGCAGGTGATGCTAAAGATGATGACAAAAGCCTTCTTGTGGGCCCCAGGGCTCCAATAGACCGTACAGCGGCTGGCGCTGGTGGCCCCGTTGTCTTGAGGCCAGCCCACCAGTGCCAGGATGGTGATGAGGACAGACTTGACCCAAATGAGGATAACCCCGGCCACAGCCAGCCTGATGGTCATCTTGACCTCGTAGCGCAGGGGGTGGACGATGTAGTAGTACCGCTCAACACTGATGATGGAGACGGTGAGGATGGAGGCGCTGATGAAACAGACGTTAAGGAATATCAAGGCCTGGCACTCAGCGATGCTGTAGATGACCCTGTCGAAGCAGGAGGAGCTGGAGATGATCCCCAGAGGCATGAGGAAGATGGCAGAGAGGAGGTCAACCACGCAGAGGTGGCAGACAAAGATGAACTTGCGGACGAGGGGCGTCTTCAGGATGACCACCATCACCACCACATTGGCCACTAGGGCAGTGATAGTGAGCAGGACCATGCAGAGGAGGCCCAGCACCTCCTGTGCTGTGGACTGCTCTGGAATGGTGGGGTACTCCAGGCTGGCCGTGGCATTCGGCCCCATCCGGCTAGCCATACCCACAGGAACTAAGCCAGCAGCTCTGCTGCCGGTATCACACGGACAGAATTCCTGCATCCCATGGAGGGAGAGCCCACCGTGGGCATGGCCGCTGTCTTCTCATGGCCCCTTGCCTGCTGGGGAAGGAGAAGATGAAGGAGCAAAACCAGAGCCACAGAGAAACCCAGAGGTGGTCTCCAAAATATTGCGGAGAGATGGCAGGGTAGGGATGACACAGGGGGACCTGCTGGCACCTCAGGCAGCCCGACACCCCATCTCCTGTTCCACAGAGGGACAAAGCCAACCCCACCCACACCATGCCTGCAGCCCCTGCTCCGGGTCCCCCTCCTCACTGCTGGGGGTCACCAAGCAGTGGGGTGGCACCAACGTACCTTGGCTTCTTGGGGACGGGCAACGCTTCCTTCCCTGGGACCGGTGCTTGTCACCAGCACTGCTCATGCTGCAGGAATGGGGTTCCCGGGGCCACATCCACCCCTCCCTGGCTGTCACCCATTAGTCATCCTGTTTGCCTGTCGCCGATGGCACCGGCTGTCACCCCCGGGCTCTCCCCGCCCACTGACAGTGCTGGGGACAGCTGCTGGGTCCTAGCAGCCGGCGGGCGACAGGGCAGGGAAGACCGAGGGTCTGCAGCCAAAAGGGCCCTTCCCACACTGAAACATACTGCAAAGTGTAGGGGGCTGGTGCTGCGAGACTGGGGAGTGCAGGGTGTCCCTGAGGCAGTCCCCAGTTGAGCATCATGGTGGCACAGCCAAGTGTCATTGCACAGACACTGGGGGGATGCAGGGGACAGAGTGGGGCTTGGCATGGTACCAATGGAGGGCAGGCACTGGGGACATAAGGACAGGCTCATCCATGCTCATCCCTTCATAGCCCTTATGCCGCAGTGGTGAGCACAAGTCTGGCTACAGTTATGAGATCTGCAGCCCACCCAGAGCCACCCACAACAGGGGTAACCCCTGGCCATAGCACCAACCAGGGCTCCCTGGTCAGCCCCTCCATGCCGGCAGGAAAGCAGCCACACTGCTGGTGCAAGGCACGGTGAATTTATTGCCCGTGGGAGCAGGCTGGATGCTCCATCTCACACCTAAGTAAGTGGCCACAAGGGCTGGATTCCTGCACTCCATGCTGGCGGCACTCTGCTGCCAAGAGGGGACACAAGGAGCCTGGTGCTCTCAGAAGTGGAGCTGGACGAGATAGCGGATCCTGCACTGGCTCTCCTGGTAGATGAGGTACTCGCTTTGGAAGAAGGACGAGTCCTTGTAGGCGGGCACGGGGATCGGCTTGCCTTGGCACACCAACACCTTCTTCCCATCCAGCATCACCTCCACATCCTGTGCAGGGTCTGGACAAGAAGACTCCACTAGTGCCAGCCCTGAGGGCCATCCCAAGGCCCCCAGTCCCACCACTCACCTGGCTCCGTGCGACCACAGGCCAGGACGCTGTCATAGCCATCGGGCGGCTGCTGCAGTGTGGGCTCATCGCGGGTGATGCAGTACTGTTTGCCCAGAGCCACCTCCGTCAGGAACATCAAGCCAACTCGCGTGGATGTGCAGCCCACTGACACCGGGAAGGGAAATGAAGGGGAAGGAGTGATGGCACCAGAGTTGCCACTCATTTGTGTGTGAGTCCCTAGCATGGAAGGGGCTTGGCAGAGGTGCCACAAAGAGCTGGGCTTGCACCGACCCCACAGACACCCCAAACAGCCCGCTGCTCACCGTAGCCAGCAGACTTGCTGTTCTCAGAGGCAAAGTAGATGCCCTTGCCCACGCGTCCCCCCGAGTGGGGCATGATGCGCAGCCCGTTCCTCAGGATGGCCGCAACCACTGCCACGTTGGTGCCGTGCCACAGCAGGCGCCGGTGCTCCAGGTGGTCATGGGCCTGGAAGAGCTTGTCCTGGAGGGACACAGAGCAGAGGGCTGGCCAGGGAGGGGCACACAGGGTTGGCCCAACTCCCCTGCCCAGCCAGCCGGCGTTCCCGCTCTGCTGTATATAAGTGGCCCTGGACCTGCAGACAAAGCCCAGTCCAGAGGGCACAGCTAGGGTCTCCTCAGGCTCCTTCTCACCTCACCCTCTCGGGCCACCTTCCAGACGTTGAGGATGTAGACCTGGCTCCCTGTCTGTGTCACATAGTTCAGGATCATCTGCAAGGAAGGACACGGTGTCACTGCTGGCTGCCCATAATCGTGTCCCCAGAGTGTCTGCATGGCACTGGGGACCGTCACACCTCATACTCTTGGGAGGTGTGCTCCAGCAGGCTGAGCTGGCAGCACAGCAGGGCGTAATCCCGGTCCAAGGGGTGGGTGACCACCTCCTCCTCCTCCTCCACCTTCTGTGCCTGCAGACTCTGTGCCACCTCGATGTCAGCCAGCACCTGGAGGGGACAGAGCAGGGACACAGTCATTGTGGGCCAGGACAAGGCTCCCACTACCTCTCCACCCCACAGGGACAGATGCCACTGCCACATCTCACCAGCAGCATGTCTTTCTTGGCTCGTAGCAGCTCGGGGGAATCAATGGGGGGTGGCCGTGCCCGCCCAAAGTTGTGGGGCACAATGGTGTAGAAGCGTGAGGAGAGCTCCTCCAGCCGGGACATCCTGCAGGGTTGCTCCCCCAGTGCAGCTTCCAGCTCCTCCAGTGCCTCGAAGCCCCGAGCAATCTGCTGCTTGCTCAGCTTCCCCAATGGCATCTTCTTCACATCTGGCAGGGGTGGAGCGCACGCTGTCAGCCCACATCTCGTGCCAGCGTGCTGGGATTCCCCAGCCCCACTGTGCTGAGCAGCCCCAGCATCACCACAGCCAAAGGGGATGCTCAGAAACCCACCAGCACCTCTGCACTCATCAGGCCCCCTGGCACCTCCTACCAATATTCATGGTCTGCATGGCGTGGCGGAACATGTCGCTGCTGAAGATGAGGGCCACCAGCTCCTGCGTGGTCTCATCCAAGGCACAAGGCAGCATGCGGCACTTGGAGACCTTCCCATCACCCACACCATCCGTCTGTGGGAGCAAACCCCAGCCTTGTGCTGTCCCTGGGTCATGCCCGATGCCACTATGATGTCTGTGGTGCTCAGTAGAGAGCGCCAAGCTTGCCTCCTTGTCCATCCCACTGCCCACCCTGCTGACCCTGCTGGATGTCTCAGGCTCAGCATTGAGGCAATGCCACTCACCCTGAGGGCCACCTCCTGCCCTGCGCCGGGCTGCACCTCTATCAAGGTGTACTTTCCTGGCTGGGCCACAAAGTTTTCCCGTGCTGCCCAGCTGTTCTTGGTCTTTTCCCAAAACTTTTTCTCAAAATCCTTCTTGGCAGCTTCCAGAGAGGTGAACGACAGGAGCTTGGACTGGCCCACTTCTCCCTGAAGCAGACCCAGTATCAGAGGCACTGCATGGGAACCATGGGCACCTGGTGCCATGGGTTTCCTTGCTGCAGTGCCTCCTCAGCATGAGGACGCATCCTTGTTTCCCCCCAGGGAAGGGTTGTGGCAGAGCTGCTCGCTTTGGGACTGGGAATTTGGGATGGGGGAGCTGGCAGGGAGCACCTCAACCCCATTCAGGGATGGCCACAGGTTAGCTCACCACACGTCCCCAGCGGTTCCAGGTGCTGTAGGTGCCATCGTGCATGATGAGCTGGATGATGTAGAACTTGTTGTTGTTGGCTCTGATGTTGGTTTGGTTCAGGGTGCAGTCATAGTCCTCATAGACCTATGGCAGGCAGCAGGTTGGGGTGGCACTGGGGGCAGAGGGGTGCTTCACCCATTTGGGGATGTGGGGGTCCCCATTAGTCCTCTCCATCCTCCTTCCATCCCCAGATGCTCCTCCCCACACTCACCTGTGCATCAGGCCCTGCACTCAAGGGACACTGCCCATCAATGGTGGCGGGGGGCTTCTCCTTGGGGGCTGCCTTCAAGGCAGTGAGCGTGGAGCTCCAGGCATCCTCCTCCTCCTCCTGCCCCCCCTTGGCTTTCTTGCCCCCATCAGCTGGCTGGGATGCAGGGGGTGCTCGGCGCTTGGGGGCCATGGGCCAGCTGCTCCCGTGGGGCTTCAGCTTTTGAGCAGCAGGCTGTGGGAGAGAGAGATGCCGGGTTGCCCTTCCGGGAAGGTCCAGCTGGGCTGTACCTTGGCTGTCCTATGCCTATAGCCAGGAACTGGGCGGGAGGAGGGGAGCATGGGGATCTGCTGTGGGGGGAGCTGAGCAGGGTAGGCTCAGGGGTTTAGAGCAGTGGACGCTGAGGACAGCAAGAGGAATGAGGAGAGGGGAGCGGTACAGCTGGCAATCATTGCCAAAGTTCCTCCCTGATGCAGCAGCCAGGGACAAGCAGAAATTGCAAGCAGGCACACCCCCAAGCAGCAGTTCCCTCACTGCCATTCAGAAAACAGCCTTCAAAGAGCTAAAATCCTCATCAGTGCTAAAGCTGCATTTTGCAGGTGGAGGCTGTTTTCCCTGTAGTACCTCTGGAGGCGAGCAGTGACCGCAGGAACACTTTCCAGCTGCTCTCTGTCAGTCTGCAGCCTAACTCCCCCAAGGGATAGGCAGCAAAACGGCATCGCTGTGTGTGCCCAGAGAAACCCAGAGGCCCTCAGTGAGGGTTTGGAGGCTGTTCAGGGGCAGCAGCAAGCGGCAGCCTGACGTGCTCCCTAACAGCTGCAGGCTGCAGTGCTGTCCCTTCTGCTGAGTAGATGGAGGGGATGGTGCTGCTGGGCGAGTGCTGAGCTCGGGGCCTCGCAGAGCTGAGCTGCAGGCAGTAGGACGGCTCGTGTTCTCCTCCCAGCACTGCTTCCAGACAGCTCACTCACAACTGCGGGCCGTTCTGCGCCGCCTCACAGCTCAGCAGCTCAGCAGAGGACGGGCTGAGCTGCGGGCACGAGCTGGGATCAGACAGTTCAGCACGCAGGAAAGAGCACAGTGCCACGGCGGCGGCACAAACCCGCCCGCGGAGCGGGTGCTGCCACAAGCTACAGTGGGGTTTTGTTTCTACTTCAATAACCGCTCAGAACCGGAGCGGCCCACGCTGGGCCGAACTGCAACTCCCAGCGTGCCCCGCGGCGGGCGGCCACCGCTGCGCATGCGCAGCAGCTGGAAGCTTCCAGGCGGCGCGCGCGGTGCCTGCTGGGTAGAAGACGGACAGTCAGCTCGGCGCCATTTTGTGGCGAGGGAGCGGGGGCTGCGGGCGCGTGTTCGGCGCCGCGCAGTGGCGGTCAGAGCCGTGCCGGAGACTTGCGGATCGTGGGCAGCGCCATGGGCTCGGATAAGCGGTAAGTGGCGGCGGGGGAAGCGGGGGCCCCGGGGGTGCGGAGGGAGCGCGCTCTGAGCTCGGCCCGCCGTTCCCGCAGCGTGAGCAGGACGGAGCGCAGCGGCCGTTACGGCTCCATCGTGGAGAGGGAGGACCGCGACGAGCGGGAGTCGCGGAGCCGCCGCAGGGACGACTACAAGCGGTCCAGCGAGGAGCGCCGCGGGGACCGCTACGACGACTATCGCGACTACGACAGCCGCGACTATGATAGCCGAGACTACGACAGCCGCGATAGCCGAGACTGCCGCGACTACGACAGCCGCGACTACGACAGCCGCGATAGCCGGGACTGCCGAGATTACGATAGTCGCGACGGCCGCGACTGCAGGGACTACGACAGCCGCGACTGCCGAGATTACGACAGCCGGGACAGCCGCGACTACGATTGCCGGGACTACGACAGCCGCGATAGCAGGGACTACGACAGCCGCGATAGCAGGGACTACGACAGCCGGGACTATGACAGAGACTACGACAGCCGCGACTACGACAGCCCCGAGGTAAGCGCTGCGGGGCCCGCGGGGTGCGGCTGGAGCTCGGGCTGGGGGTGGCAGCGGGGCGCTGACGTGTGTTGGCTTCCAGAGGGAGCGAGAGCGCAGGAACAGCGATAAATCCGAGGACGGGTACCACTCCGATGGCGACTACGGAGAGCACGACTACAGAAACGACATCAACGACGAGAAGGAAAGCAAGACCATCATGTTGCGTGGCCTGCCCATCACGGTTACCGAGAACGATGTGAGTAGGCAGGAGGGGCTTTGCTCTGCGCAGAGCTGCTGCCATTTTGTTGAGCGCTGCATCGCGGTGGCCCCCCCTTCTAGACGTGTTGGGAGCGCTTCCATTTTGAATCCTAAAAGGGTTCCGGCTGCCGCTGTTGAGTAACAGAGGTCATCTCAATGTTAAGCCGTTCGTTTTCAGTAGAGCTGTACGTGAATGGTGTGCTTCCCCTAAGATTTTTGTGGGATTTAAAACTCCGTGTAGTTTTTTCCTCTTCCCACTTAGCACGTGGAAGAGGATATAGACGTACGTCCTATTTATTTGTTGTTACTCTCTAAGGATTGTTAAGGGAGGGAGATAAGGAGCACAAAAGTGATTTAGTAACTTTCTGGGCTCTTGTGGAAGCCCGAAGTGAGGGTTGGTGGTGCAGCCCAGATGCTGAGCTCCTCAGCTGAGAGCAGCCGTGCGGAACGCGGCTGTGTGGGTGCAGCTGTGGTGGCCATAAAATGGCTGCTCCGGAGCTGAGGGAAGGAGCGAGCGTGGTGCGCCATCATCTGACGGTGCTGGAAAGACCTCGCACCCCCTGGGAGGGATCTGTTTGCCCTCTCACTGGGCTCTTTCAGTGACCAAGACCACAAGCCTGCGGCTGCTGTGTGAATTGGGATAAGAAACAGCTGTAAAAGCCAAGGTGCATCAGTTTGTTTTCAGGCACGCTCCCCTTCCGATCCTGAGATCTTTGTGTGCCAGTTGCTAACACAGAGCATCTTTTTGCACCACTTCTGTGGTAGATCTCTGCTTTTTTTTTTTTCTTTTTTCTTTTAATTGAGTACTTTCTGAATACTGGCAATGCTTTTCAATTGCCATGTGTGATCATTTTTTAAGCGCTGAGCAAAGCATCCAAACAATGGAATTCAGTCAGAAGTTACCTGAAACATATTTAGCAATTTTTGTTTCTGATTTTGTACCCGTGCAGCTTTATGGTTCTGCAAATAACTGCAGTGTAATCTGTGGGAAAGCTGAATGTAATTTTAGTTACGAACTCATCAGCAGAGTTTAGGTTATGATTTTTGGAATGATTGCTTTCTGCTGAAGTCAGCTTTCCCTTTGTGCTTCTGGTATTAACTGTACATATTTCAACAGCTTTTTCCTCTTCTCTCACGAGAAGGTATTTGCACTGAAGGTGGTGGGTCAGTTCCAGCCAGAAGATGAGCAGGCAGCTTTAAATAACCTTTGAGTCCCGCCTGCTGTTGTATGTATTGTAGCATGAGTTCCCTGTAGGAGCTGCCAAGCTCCTTTTGTTCTTAGGAGATAGTTTTACATGTTTGTTTTTCCTTTATACTCCTTGGCAATAATTTATCTAGTTTGTCACACCCAACTTAAGCAGCTTGGTTGTGTCTGAAGAGCTGACGTCCCTGTAGCATGATCTTTGACAGTATTCTTAACAAATCTCATGTATTTTCTGAAAAAGCAAAAGGGAAGCTCTGTTAAAGGATTGCAGCTATGGCTAGGGGCTTAAGGGAATGTGCATCACTGAGCCTCCCAGTAGTGTTACTGTTCTCTGCTAGGAGTTGGATGTTTCCAGGCATGCAGGGTTGGGGATGCTAGCAGCATTCTTTGTTAAGACATTGGAGCAAGCACGGAGTTTGCCAAATTCTGTACAGATGGCCTTGGAATTCAAGGCCATGGTGATTCAGATTCTGGATGATTCTGTGGGCTGTGAGGACAACGGAGGGCTGTGTGGGTTCTGTGGTGCGTGTCAGGCTCCTGTTCACCCCAAGGGCTTGCTTCTTTTTCTGAGATAATACTCAGACTCTTCTGCTCTGTGCACCCGCTGTGTGTACAGTAGGCTGGATTGCTGCTTTGTCTGGCTGAGATGTGTGCTAATATTTGAAAACTTAACTGTCTGATAAAATCTCACGCAGATCCGGGAGCTTATTGAGTCCTTTGAAGGTCCTCAGCCTGCAGACGTGAGGCTGATGAAGAGAAAAACAGGTGAGAGCTCTTATCCAGTTTTTGGTATGGCCTTCCTCTTCCCCAGCCCAAAAGAGTATCCAGAATTATCCCCAAACTGCAAGCACGTGCAATGAATAAAAAAAAAGTTTGCCATGGCTAAGGAATGTGGCTTTTTGGAAGACTTGTAGATAGCTCGTCCTGTTAAAAAGAAGTCTGTCTCCAGGGGTTTTAGTTAACAGGTGTTGGTAAGTAATACTAGTATAAACCCGTTTAATAGTATGTAGTCTGTTGCATGGTTACCTGTAAACGTGGATTCAAATGGAGTGAAATGTAGCCAGTTAAGGGAGCTTGGTTCCTTGCCATGGCAAAATAACGAGCAGATCCCAGCAGTTGACGTCGCATTTGTAAAGCTGCTTTGTCGTGAAGTAATGAAGCAGTTGGAGAGAGATTCGCCTGTTTTAAAGGAACTGACTAACACAAGTATCCCGTCTATATCTGAATGCTGTCTCTAGGTGTAAGCCGTGGTTTCGCCTTCGTGGAGTTTTATCACTTTCAAGATGCTACCAGCTGGATGGAAGCCAATCAGGTTGCTTCACTCACCAAGTCTAGATATTCCTGAAAATGGAAAAAGTCTGTACAGTTTAAAAAAAAAAAAGAAAAAAATAAAGGTGGAAGGAGTGGTTTGTTCCATAACAGTGATTTAAATGAATAAAAGCTTTGTATATATTAAAAGTTTTCAGAGTGATAGAAAATAGCAGGTAACATTAGGAAAAGAAAGTGGGCTGTTTTGAGCCCTCCCTCATAAAATGTGCCGTTGTCTGATTACATGGTGCCAATTTATTTGGCTGTGGAAAGAGTAGCATATAGTCCATAAGAGACTCTTACTTTACTTCCACCTGCTAGTTCTGTTGCCAGAGAAGGCATCAGATACTGTGAGATTTTCATTACCTTGGTATTAATCCTGAGTAAAATTCAGAAAAAGATGTGCCAGGTCATTAAAAAGATGCGTTCCCTGAGTCGAGGGAAGACACCTGGCTCTTCTGGACAGAGAAATGTGTTCATTCCAAATAAATCTGATGGGAACTGAGGGCTCTTCAAAGCTGTGCTGTGTATTTTGGCTGTTCTGGACTATGACTTGACAAGGAGCCAAAATGCAGAAAGTGCTCTAGTTTCTTTCCCAGTGCTGCTTTCTTCTCACACTGTAAGCACGCTCTGGATTTGCTCATTTTTGAATCTCCACCGTCTGTTTTAACAACAGATCTTAAATACTCTCTTGGAGCCAGCAAAGTGTGTTGAGCCACTTGTTCTTTTTACAGTTAAAGATATGCTGTGAGGATCTGTGTGCAGCATGAGGAACGTCTTCTGCTGCGTCAGTTTATGTGTCCAGGCACTGCAGCAGCGCTGCAAGCAGCTCCAGCAGATGGAGGTAGCTGTGTGCTTTGTGCTGGAATAGAGCTCCACGTGGCTCGTGCTGGGAGTCGTTTCCCATGGCACAGTTTGGGTCCTGTTTCACGGTGCCCTGCTCTGTAGGGTGGGCAAGTGCAGCGGAAGGACTCGTGTTAGGAGATGAATGCTGAGTGCAATTTTAGAGGTAGTTTTAATATATACAAAGCTGTATCGCTGCATAATTTATTGCAACAAATACTCAAATTCACTCCGGTAACCCAGCCACCCTAGTAGTAGGGAAAACATAGAGTCTCCCCAGCAGCCCGGTCGCTGACTGTTAGATGAAAGAATGATGTATTGCAACTGTGCCAGCAGCTTTGTTTCTATGTGTGCATATCCAGTGAGCGCTGGGCCCTCCAACCCTCCCTCCTGCCGGTAGGAGAAATGGCTTTGCCCTATTTAGTTGCACAGAATGTGAGAGCCTTATTCATGCTACATGCTAGATGTATCTGTCAGACCCTGTTACAGAGAAGCCACTGGTCCTGGTGCTCCTGTGGTACCT